AAAAATATAAAGAAACTATATATCAAAATACATATTTATAATTTTTTTTGTTTAAAAGCTTAGCCTTTCAGCGTCACGTCTCCTTCCTGCGCATGTGTAGTTACATCAATGTAAGCATTACTTTATTCCGATAAAGTCCTAAACGACTTAGCCCGTCCACTTGCCCCCCACTTTTTTTTTCATTAATTTTCTTAACACACACAGACACAAAAAAAAACACACATAGCAAAATCAATAATACTTACAAGAACAATAACATCCATCAAAATAACAATATCAAATTATCTGTAGAAAGAAAATTGCCCACTTAACAATAAATGTTTAACCAATAACATAATGTACAAAGTTACTGTAACTAACAAAATTAACAGAGAGGGAGCCACAGAAAAAAGCATTGACAGGAAGATATCATAGCCACAAAATATCCTTTGAAATAAAATAAAAAATAGACAAAAAAAAATACAACCCTATTAAAATACAGATAGACCCAAAAAGAAAATATCTCCACCAAAATCAAATGGGAAATTATAAAATAAGGAGCCGTATATAGTATAAACTATGAGTATGAAATGTATATATATATATATATATATATATATATATATATATATATAGGAAATGGATTAAATCCGACAGTTTGCACAGTAATATGTAATCGACACATCTGAAGAGACCTCTTTCTCTCCCTTCTCTACCTTTATGTTCGTTCCGGAAACGATTTCATCGCTTACAAATCTCCCAGCTTGATTGATGTGTATTTACAGCTTATCAAACTTTTGCAGGTTATTCAAAACCAGAAAATATTTTTAAATTGTCAGTGTTTCTTGGAGATAATAATGATTTACTGATACAATTTCTACTAATTAACCCATACCTGGGGGGGAAGAAGAGGTTGATTCAAAATCTTTCCCAAGGTGAATATAACAAAGAACTCGGCTCTTCGATTTCCAATTCCTAGCCACCATCCATTTTGCAAAACTTGTTTGTGTAATATATATGTAATGTTTTAATATATATTTTTACTTATACGTTAATTTTTTTTATATAATTTATTTGAGAAAATGCTCTGTTTTTAATTAAACAGTATTGATTACATTTACCGGCCTAAATACTCGAAAAATCTTGTAGAAAATATGCGTCCACCGACAGGAAGCGAACCTGTATCCTATACGAAAACAACATTTGGCCTGACGTGCTATTAACCAATTAACCCACAGCGGATTTCTGGTTTAGCAAAGTTCAAATTACTGCTTATAGATATATACATTCGACGACTTATCTCGATAATTCATTTCTGCTCCGAAACGTAACTTAACAATAACAACATATTTTATGTAATAGATTAAATCTGATAGATATTTTAATTTATTTTCTATTTATACGTTATTTTTTTATGGATATAACTTTTTTGAGTAAATGCTCTGTTTTTAATTAAGCAGTATTAATTACATTTACCGGCCTGGATATTCGAGAAAATATGCATCCTCCTACATACTGAAGTCTTGGATTCATTTCAGAAACGGCTATATAAATTTCTTGCTTTCCAGCCATTCTGAAAACGAGATGAGGATTTACTTTTAATTCGATAAAGCTGGAAAAAGCTGGGAAAATATATTAATAACTTTCGACATGAACTAAGAATTATAAAGGAAAGTTACAGAATAAAGATTAACGGCTTTTTTTTAAGCCACTCATTTTCTTCTTTAATCACATGAAAGGGCAGCTCAGGGGGAAAAAAGCACTGTGATTCATTATGTAAGGATACAGACAAATACATAGACACACATTCCATTCTTTCATTTTGGAGCTGATGAAGCCCTGAAAGGCGAAACGCGTAATCAAATCTATTTTCAATTAAACGATTTCCATTTATCAAATTTCTTTACACACACACACACACACACACACACACACACACACATATATATATATATATATATATATATATATATATATAAATATATTATAATTGATTATAGTAAAAACATTTTACATCACTATACAAAAACTTTCATATATATATATATATATATATATATATATATATATAATTATTTATTTAAAAATTTAAAAAAATATTTATAAAATCACTACTATATATATATATATATATATATATATATATATATATATATATATGAAATAAATATATATATAAATATAAATCTAATATTTAAAATAATTAAAAAGACGATTTAATTGTAAAATTAATTATAAATATGTCATGAAATTGTATGTTCTATTAGACCGAAATGTCCGACGTTCAATTCCAGGACCGAAAAAAAAACATTAAAACAGCATAATAGCATATTAGGATTTTAGTATATTTTTCTTCATACTGTCGGATCTATATCCATATATTTGCTTATATATATATATATATATATATATATATATATATATATATATATAAAATTTATTTATTCATATTATATTTATTTTAATATTTATTTAAATATTCATGAAGACCTACTGGACCTTATTTGTAACATACTTGTTGACAACTTAGATATAATAGCATCATCTACATGCAAAAAAAAAGCTAAAAATAATGGACGCCTTATTAATAAAAGCAAAAAAAAAACAACACTTAATGATATTAACTATGAACATGGACACAATATCTTGACCGTGTTTTTAAAAAAATGAAAACATTATATAATTACATACATTCAACAAACTATTTCTTATTTAAAAGTTAAAATATCCAATCATTGAAAATGGCTAAATGTATAGCTGAAAGCGCGGATTAAAAGAACATTCGGACAGTTTTTATATAATTTATCATCAGAAAAATATTAGATCGCATGAGAAATTGTATAAAAAACTAACTCAAAGCACCTTGTCTGTTGTATTCAATTAAATGTCCATATATATATATATATATATATATATATATATATATATATATATATTATGTTTATACCTAATTTTTATAGATACAAATATTTAAGTATATATATATATATATATATATATATGTGTGTGTGTGTGTGTGTGTGTGTGTGCGTGTGTCTGTGTGTGTCTGTGTGTGTGTAAGACTTGCCTTAGATTCGTTTCTGAAAAGGAAATATTAATTTTGGGGCTTTCGAGCCATTGTGGGAAAATGTATTAACAACTTTCGATGGGTCATTTAATGCCAACCATTATGCAAGGATACACACAAATGCATAGACACACATTTCTTTCTTTAGTTTTTGGATCTGATAAACCCTCGAAAGGAGAAACGCGTAATTAAATCTATTTTCAATTAAACGATTTCCGTTTGTCATATCTATCTATCCCCCCTCTCTCTCTCTCTCTCTCTCTATATATATATATATATATATATATATATATATATATATATATATATATATATAGAGAGAGAGAGAGAGATGATAACACACACCCATAGTAATATACACGCTTACACACATCATACTCACTCTCTCCCTAAGAACCAAATAACACACACACACACTTAACAGTGGCACATCCCCTTTCCAGGGATCAATAAAACTGTCAAACTGACCAAGGGAATTCAAAGCAGCATGAATCCATCCAGCCCTTATCTTAAATAACAACTTAAAAGAGACTATTTGACCAACACAAGGACTGGCCAAAATTCATGTTAAAAAATAAATAAAGAAAACAAATGAAAACTACAGACAAAAGTTTATTTTCTCCATCACGACATTCATTTCTGTAGTTCACGGCTACCAGCAAGCAAATTTTTTTCTCCTGATCATGTCCATGTTGGCCGAAACTAGTCGAGGAATCTAACTGAAATAATAATAAAAACGAAGGAATATTGATATACAACCCAGTGTGTCTGAAGATTTTAATTTTTTAATATTTTTGTTGTTCAAAAAAAAAAATTATATATATATATATATATATATATGAAGAAATATAGTCTTAAGGCGTGCTATATTTATGGGATAAAGTGCTCAATATCAGAGATAGAGCGTGTGTAAAAGTGAACATTCAACACATATTTCATGCTTGATGCATAGTGGCCTGACGATTGCGTCTAGCATTAAACAGACTGCCGCCTCTAAGTGTTGAATTCAATGTTCAATTTTTAAGCAGCATTCCTTTGAGAGGCTGTATATATATATATATATATATATATATATATATATATATATAGGTCTCACACATATACACACTCACGCAAATATATACACATACACACATCAGACACACTTCCCAAAAACTAAAAGATAACTTACACTTAACACTCACATCCTTTCTCAGCAACCATTAAAACGGTCAAAATGACCAAGGAGGGAATCCTGAGACTCAGGAATCTCCCAGTCTCTATTTTAAAAAAACAACTTGAAAGGAGGCCGTTTGACCAACACAAGGCCTGACCAAAATTAACGATAAAAAAAAACAAATGAAAACTACAGATAAAGTTCACTTTTCTTCAGAGACAGTTTCCTGCTACAAACAAGCAGGGATTTTTTTCTCCTGATGATGGCAATGCTGGCCGAAACTAGTCGACGAAGCTAATTGAAATAATAAAACAAAAAAATATTAATATACAACCTCGTGTGTCTGAAAATTTTAATTTTTTAATATTTTTTATTGTTCAAAACAAAATCCACAAATCCTCAAAACTAGGCACCACCAATAGTTTGTCTGACAACAAAAGCAACACGAAATTCATAATCCTACCCTCTAACATTCTTTCTACCTAATATATATATATATATATGTGTGTGTGTGTGTGTGTGTGTGTGTGTGTGTGTGTGTGTGCGTGTGTGTGTGTGTGGATGCGGAAAACTTATTCAAACGAGAATTGAAAATACAATAAAATATAAACAAAAGAAGAAAGAAAAATGAATTTCACATTAAATACAAACTATAACGTGTGGGAAAAAAAAACTCTCCTTTATTCCGAGGGTGGGTGGCCGAGCAAGGAATCGGTTTCAATTCCATCACAGTCGCCATATGTTTCGCGCCCTTTTTCTACATAAAATGTTAACAAGTGCAAACCGCCTTTTTATCAGTGAGCGATAAGTCGCGCTTACTTCCCCTTGAGCGGACACAGAGCATTCCATCTCGGCCCGACAACTGCTCACTCCTCTGTCTTTGCCTTCTTGCCCTTACATCCTCCGTCGGTTTTCTCCCTCCAGATTCTTCCACCACCTCCTCCTCCACCCCCTTCAGCATCTACAAATGTGTTTATCGTTCTGTCTGTCTGTAAATTTAATATGTCTTTCTGGTTGTCTGTCTGTATTGGCTGTTTCATTTTTTTTAAGAATATCACCAAATTCTGTGTTTTCTCTGCTTAAAACTTTTAAGGGATTCAAATTGCTACCTTGTATTTCGTGATGGGTAGATAATGCCCCGTAATGAAAAATTCTTCCAGGGGGGGAAACAACTTTCAAATCATGCATTCTTGAAAAGCAAAACTCAACATGCGTTTTCAAATGTGTATGTTCTCTCAAGCTATACAACGCATTTCAATATGACACGTAAATAAATAGATAATAATTACATTGGCTCTACAGAAGGATGCTAAGGATATCATGGACCGAGCTTGTGAGCAACGATCAGGTCTTAGAGAGGTTTTCAAACAAGGAGGAGGCTTATACTTAACATCAGAACGAGACAGCTGAAGTTTTTGGGACGCATAATGAAGGCCTGGAGAATCTGATACTCACGGGTCGAAGAAAGAGAAGAGAGAGACAAGAGAAAGCAGTGCGTGACATACCTGATGAGTTTGAGCAGGTGGATGACAGAATGTGGTCAGAAGGAGGAAGCAGAAGGAAGGAGTTTTCTGAGAGCTGCAAGGGATAGAGGGAGGTGGAGAGCCATGATCGCCTACGTCCTTAAAAGACATGGCACATAAAAAGAGAAGAATGTTGCTGTAAGGTTGCCTTTCTGTGTTTTTTTTTCTATAAAATTTACCATTGGTCTATGCTTAGAATATTGCTGCCACATATAGTCCGGTGCCCGTGCTATTAACCTTCAGCTGCTCGGCCCGGAAGCTAGGATCAAAGTGTAGTACGCTGCCTTTGTGAGCTTCCGAGTCGGCGTCTGTCGAACTCTCTGCAATAGCAGAGAGGAACCCGGAGGAAGCTTTGCCGAAGGGCAAGGTTTCGTTCGGGGAGGTAGACAGGGCCTGAATCCGTCAAGGCGGGTTCAAAAAGGCTATATTTTTGGCCGAGCCTACGGGCTCGGGGATACCCACATTAAACCGGCCTTTTGCCACATTCTATCCTCGTGGGTGGATCGATAAATACTAGCCTTCAGCTGCAATTGATAACATTCAAAGAAGAATCAGCAATATTAACGGTCCTGATCTGGTGGCTCGGCTTCTGTCATTTTCCACCGCCGTAAGGTTGCCTCTCTGTGTACTTTCTATAAATACTTTCATAGTAATTGTTCGGATGAACTATTCGCTATGGTACACCGACTTTTTTTAATTTAAGCGTAGTTGATGAGATCTCGACGCCAGTCTAGTACGACTGGCGTCAAGATCTCATCAATTTACAGTTGAGCTGGCTAGATGTAGCCGTAACTTCTAAGCTAACAGTTTCTTTTCCCGCACTTCTCGCTTGCTAAACTACCTTCCGGCTCCATACTTTCTAGCCAACTAGAAAAATTTTAATGCAACGTCAATCGCTATCTGCTGTCCTCCTGATTACTCTTTTCTCTTTCCGCTCATTATTAATGTTTCTGTTCCTAATTCTTGCACACTTTGTAACCCTTTGTGTCTTAGTGGCTTTACTGCCTTGCATGGGGTGATACGGATTTAAAAAAAAAAACAAAAAAAAAACACGTGCTTGATAAATTAGATAAAATGGAAAGCCGTTTCATTGACTTGATTACGGGTTTTGACATCTTTAGATAATCTTCCTCGGATAAGACCGCAAGAAATATTAAATCGTTAATATTTTTTTTACTAAGCTGGTGTCCCTCGGATGGGATGAAAGAACAACATTGTGACTTCTGTATAAGAGTCGTTGTTTTAATTTATACTGTTTTCTTTTCAATTTTCTTGTTTTGTCGAAATTTAATATTCTCCTAGCTCTTGTCCATTGAATTTATGGTAAATCCCTATCCAAATTTTCAGAACTGGTTGAAAGTAAGATTCATATTGCTGTAGCATACCTACGGACGATAGTGGATATGTCCCCATTCATATAAATATAGTAGTAAATACTGTATGTTGGTCTGCAGTTGGAGATTCGTCTCCAGCTGTGATGGTCAAACTCTGCCTCCGGGCAGAGGGGATCTCCAGACGAGGGTATGTCGAAGGGCAGAGTTTTGATCGAGAAACAGCTACCTGACCCCGATTTATACGAGGTCTCCGGGGAATTTTTGGCCGCGCCTACAGGATCGGATGCCCAAAATTAAATTCGGCCTTGTGCCACATCCAACTGCGTTAGGAGGTTGGTAGATATACTTCAGCTGGAGATTCGTCTCCAGTTGTGCTGGTCAAACTCTCTGCCTCAAGGCAGAGCTAATCCCCAGACGAAGGGTAGAGTCTCGTCTCGGAAAACAACTACTCGACCCCGTTTTATACGGGGTCAACGGGGAATTTTTGGCCGAGCCAACAGGCTACCCCACATTAAATTCAGTGGATTTAAGGACGAATGTTATTCTCCTCCATGACATCACAAGGCCGCTGCAATTATATATATATATACATATTATATATATATATATATATATATATATATATATGTGTGTGTGTGTGTGTGTGTGTGTGTATTGAAAAATGGAAAGCCGTTTCATTGACTTGGCTACTGGTTTCGGCATCTTTAGATAGTCTTCCTCAGATCAGAACGAAAGAAATAGATATATGTTTACGTGTTTGTGTTTCCGTATTAAATCGTTAATACTTTGCCGCTAAGCTGACGTCCTTTGGTTGCGATGAAAGAATGAAATTATGTAACTTTTGTTCAAAAGCCATTATTTTAATTTGTGCTGCTTTCTTTCTTTTCATTTTTTCTTACTTTGCCGAAATTTGTTTTTATTTTCTTCCAGCTTTTCTACAGTCAATTTAAGGTGAATCTTTGTCCGATTTTTTTTTCAGAATGGACCGAAATTAAAAGATTCACTTACATTATTTACATTGTATGGCTATAAAGACGAGGACAACAGTCTGAACAATGTATATAATGTAAATAGTTACAATGCCTCATCTCAGAAATATAGACAGATCCTGAAGAAAGCCAGGGCATACACCGGCCGAAACGTCGTTAATATGACAACAAATATAAGAGCACCAGTCCAAACAATGTAAATAATGTCAACAGTTACACCTCATCTCAGAAATATAGACATATAAAAGATTCATATATTTCCTGATTAAGTGTAGGTATGTATTATGTTTTCCGTGTCGACAATATATGCATTTTTTTTACTCATTTCATCGCAAGCAAGGTGATAGTTCCACTAGCACGCAATGGGGTTACAGAGAGTGAGAGCAAGAGTAAAGAGGGGTGTTTGAGGAAAGGATATAGAGAAGGACGTGGAAGAGGATCAAGGCTTCAAAAGATGTCGATTGACATTACATTTGAATATTTAAAGATTGTAGCTATCGGGGAAGCAAACAGGAGGAAGGGAGTTTCACTGTCGGGAAGCGCAAGAGAAGAAGCTGTTGGAGTAGAAGAGGCGGTTACATTTAACATTTCGATAAAGCAAGAGATGGAGAGAAAGAGATCGTGACGGAGAGGGATGGAGAGACAGAAGTAGTGAGAGAGCGGGTGAACCGTCACAGAATCACATATATGAAGGTGAATGGTAGCTTCGATGCCACCGATTGATCTATCATCTGATATGGACGGCACCAATGTGACTTTTTAATCTTGCTGGGTGGGTACACAGTGGCGGGATGAGCCAAAATATCAGCTTTCCCTGTGGCATGTGGGTCCCTGATTGAGTGAATCCCCAATTGAGTGGGTCCTCTATATCAAATAAAAATGAAAACAGAAACAAACACAGACAACTGTTTTAGTAATAAAAAGGAATAAGCCCCCAATATAAAATACAATAATCTACTACACAAACTGCAAAAAAAAAACGATTAAAAATCCTGGAAGCAACTTCCATTAAACTACCTCTCTCTTTCTGGATTCCTCTCAGAATCTGTGATACCAAGCGTGACACACACCATACAATAGGACAAGCGTATTAACATATAGATGGGTTTGAAATTCACATCGCTATAAATAACTGGAAATATTTACTGTTTTTATTTACTTATTTATTTTAGACTTTTATACAAATCTCTATCTATAAAAGACAGGATGTGTGTGTGTGTGTGTGTGTGTGTGTGTGTGTGTATGTATGTGTTTGTGTGTGTGTAACGAATGCACGGCCGCAATTTTCGACGGATTTGCACCAAAATTTACATGCACATGCTCCAAGTCAGCAAGAAGGCCAAGACCGACATTGCATTTCCCAACTCCCATCGATAGTGGAAATAATCGATTTTTTCATGTTTCTACGGCAGTTTTCATGCAGTTTGCGGCCATTTTCTACTGGCCAGAGTGAGAGCCAATAGCTGGCTGCCACGAATAGGCAGGAAGATTCTATTGGCCAGTGTGAAAGCCAACAGCTGACTGACACGAATGTTAACTAACATCCTAGCATGCAAAAAAAAATCGATAGCTGCATTCGTCACAAGTGGGAAAAATTTAAACCTGCATGACACTTTACTCCAATTGGCTCATTCGCTTGCTTAAACTCAACGTTGATTCTGATTCCGCAGAACTGGGTTGGGTGTGAAAAGTATTTGTTGTTAACATTCTTTTTTCATTCGGTTTTTCCAGTTACGAGTCCTTTTTAAAGCTGATCGTTTTTGTGTTCATTTTGTTTAGTTCTTTCTTCGTAACAGATTTAATGTTTAGTATAGAGCTTAGAAAAAATTCGTAGTGTGAGATAGGCAAGAAGTAAGGCATGTAGCAACATCAGCACGGCAAAGGGCACTCCTTTAAAGGCAAGAAAGGGCAATTTTAAGTCAAGTGATAGCGATTGCTGTAGGAGTCGTACGATTTTTGAATGAAGCACGGGCAACGCCGGGCCATGCTGCTAGTTCCTTTAGATAACAAAAGTTATCGAATACAAATAATAGAACAAATGCAGATTAGAATGTGCAGCACCCTTAAAATTTAGTTGATGTCAAAAATGACTAAATTTTATGTGATGTATTTTAAAATTGATGTTAATAAATTGGAGTGCGAACACGTATCTGTGAAATTCGTCGTGGAAAAATAAGACTTAGAACTTTTCGTAAATTGATTTACTAAATAGGTAGACATATTGTGTTGTTAACGGTCAGAAGTTTGCCGTCAATAATCTACTGCCCATACTGAAAAAAAACGATTAAAAATTCTGGAAGCTATTTACATTAAACTATATTAACATACTATTAATAAAATGCGTTTCGATCTGGAGGCGCATATATTAAAATGCCTTTTGAACTGTAAGGTCATTTCAATCACCTGACACTAAAATCTATTCCACAGTTACAACCACGTGAACGCTCTTTCATTTCAAAGTTTGGGCTATTAACAAACTAAACACCATTCTGGGCTATCGCTCGATTTTCTACTTTCTTCCCTTGTAAATGACCAATGATGGTCAAAATTACTCAGAGCATAAGGTATATTTTAGTCAAGATTTTTTTACATGTATCCACCTGACATCAGAATACTTTTCCCACACCAGGAGAAAACAATCAAATTGCTTAACGGGCATCCCCAGTTTGTTGTAATTAATAAAATAATTGCAAAATAAAGATTGTTCCTTAAACATGCTATATTTACAGTGGCGGGCTGACCAGGGTGTCATCTTGCCCGATGGCAAGTGGGGCCCCTGATGAAGTGGGGCCCCTATATAAAATAAAACGCAATGAGTAAACGAACACAGATAGCCGTTTTAGTCCTGGGTATGACGATAAACTACATCCGTGTCCTGGGTAAGATGATATACATCCGTGTCTTAGGTATGACGATAAACTACATCCGCGTCCTGGTAAGACGATAAACTACATCCGTGTCCTGGATAAGACGATAAACTACATCCTTCTGGGTAAGATGATAAACTACGTCCGACAGTAACATCAGGAGGTTTTGAGGAACGTGGATTCACCTATTTATTGCTGGTGTTCCCAGGTCCACCCTGACCCGGGGTGGTAGTATTTTTTAGGGTCCCAACTATGGGCAAATAGTTAACTCACAAAACTGGGGCCAAAGCACTGTGAACGTGTAAAAATAGGTTTTAATACCAGAAATGAAGTATTGAGAAAAAATTATTACCAGCAATACATTTTTGACGGAGAAAAATATTATCAGCAATAAAAGTCTTGTCGGCATTCAATAACCCATTAAGGCTGATATACCGTAAAACAAAACAAAACAAACCAATTCAAGTCCAATGTGAGAGGACATTTTCAAAGCTAAAGATCATAAATACAAGGTTAAGATATTTGCTGCCTGAGGGGAATTTGGACTCATATATGCTACTATGCATTGAAAAGGAATTGTTAGATGAATTGGATGCAGAAGCAATTATTGGTAGATTCAAACAATTATCTCATGAACAAAAATGATTGCTCTTAATATAATGGACTGCATGCAATGCTATATTTTGCTTTTGTTAATGTACAAATTGTGCTGTAAACTATTTTAAAACAGAAACCAATTACTTAAAATTAAAAGAAAATAGAAATTCAGTTATAACTAACTGTATTTACATTTTGTATTTACTACCAGTAATATGTACAGTATTTATACACTGTATTTACATTTTGTATTTATTACCAGTAATATGTACAGTATAAATAAGCAAAATAAAACCTTAATTACAAATTTTTATATTAACAGTAAGTTCAATAATGAGATTA